CCAAATATTCGCGGCCGGGCATTTAAATGTGCTCCCACACGGCATGGCCCACAAAAACGTGCACACTTTTGGATCCAAAAGCGACTGCTCCCCACCTGCGATGGGACAACCGTGTTTGGAACCAGCCGCACAAACGGGCTCACCGGCCCAAACTAAGCTCCCTACACTGGATCATGCGCGGCTGGATGGGGTGCTGGCGACGTCGGGAAGCTCGGAAAGCATTTGCCATGCGACAAAAACCAAACATGGCATTCGCCAGGGTTGAACCTCTCATTTCGCATCATATTCGACCCCAGACTAATCAACCCCGGTTTATGAATAGGGAAGTTCCCTGCCAAAAGTGCACTAAACCCAGGGGTAATCAACTCCCTATTGCCAGAAAGGGGTTGATTAATCTGGGGCGATCATTGCTTGCCTTCTCACAGATCCGGCATGTTTCCCGGACTAAGTCCACATGCGAGAGTTCTCCTTCAACTGTCAAACTCTCTCAACCTGGAATCAGGCAGCAGGCTCCGCCTGTCGAACACTTTGCCCACTGGGCCTCTGTAAGAAATTCTGAAAGCTGGGGGCCGCGAGCTACGAGAGAATGATGCAGCACCCCTCTGGGTCTCTGTGTTTCTTGAGACCGTCTTTTTTTGTGTTTCAAAAAAAAACGCCAAAAGCACAAGCCCCCATTTTGGGGTCCCCCAAAAAAAACACTCCCATGCGGGCTTGAAATGCAATGCACTTCTGGTGCATTGGGACCCATCATGGACAAAGGCATATCAAGGGCAATATACCTGCGATGTTCGTACGAAGGTGCCACACACTGAAATAAGGACAGGGGAGTTGAAACATGTCCATCCCCTCCCTTTCAGACAAGAAAACAACAACAGCGTGTTAAGTTGGACATCAACAATCTCTTGCGTGCCATCTAGTGTCTGGGAGATCTCACCATCCAACAAGGCATCAGTCTCATGCTAGGCGACTTCTGCGAATGGGTAGGTGGTCTTGGTTGCTGCTGATCCCTCTGCAAAAAGTTTAACTTGTTGTGGGTTTAGTGGAAACCCCCTTGATTTCCCAAACTGTTAAAGTCTAAAGATTCAACCCAATTGCAGTCAAGCTGTGAGCCATCTGTTGGTCGTGAATATTCTTTGCCTTCTGCCTTCCAGGTCTCTCCATGTCAATCCGTTCGTGTGAAGTCGATACCCACGTCCCACGTCATGCATTCACCTGCGCAAATTACTAGAATTCCAAAACTGGAAACCGGAGAACGCCCCGCAGTAAAGGACCGCCATGGCTAGATTCATTGGCTCCACCTCGGCCATTGCTCGATTTCCACAAGCACAGTGGGCCAACATGCTGCGCCTAGTTGTTTGATTAAGGACCCCTCTATTGGACGTCATTTAGCTCCAGTGAAAACTTATGTCCAACCATTGTTGCAGCATCCCCGGTTTCAATAGCGAACCTCCAAAGGGCTAGGTCACCATGGTCCACCACTTCCGCACAAAAGCTTTCCTAGCCGGGCGCCAAAATGGTCCGCCACAGATTTGGGAGGCTTCAAATCCCCCCCGCGCAATCCTCATGAGGCCCGCTTTCGCATGCGGCGGCGCATGCGCATGTGCCTGGACAGGCCACTCGGCAGGCGGCAGGAAGTAAAGCCGCATCTCGAAGTCGAAGTCGACCCACTCCTCCCCAGAGAGCCCTAGCTGAGCCTTTGGGGATTTTTTTGACTAATGACAAACACAAGAAGCTCCCTAGCCTCTTGGGGGGGGGTCTTTGGCAGGGTCCCTGATCTATCGACTCAGAACCTCAGACTTCACCTGGCCGAAGAATTTGAAGTGGAAATGGACCTGTCGCTAGATGCCAGGGTTTATGTCAAACCCAATGGCCCGGTGGGTAGGCTTGCTGTTCATACTCCCAAATATAATTCTTAAGTGCGTTGGGACCCAGCAACTAACGGGAACAGGGGAACCCCCCCCACCAATTCACGTGGAACCTGACAGGGGGGTCCTAGAAGAGGGACCCCCCTGTCAGGAGGGATTTTTTTTTACTCTTATGGAAGATGCAGAGGGCTCAAATCACAATTTACAATTTCGTTCTCCGTACACCAAGGTGCAAGTACATTACACTCTTCCCTTTCCTCCATTTGCTTAAGTACACAAATTGTAGTGATAGATTCCCTTTAAAACCAACAGGGGAAATCAAATTCATTTCACCAAATGGAAGCTTTATGTCCGTCAGGATGAAACACCTAAATGGGAAGGGCACATGCCATGGACTTTCTCTCACGCTATCCTGGGAATGGGATTCTCTGGCCTTCCCCGTTTGGAATCGATTGCGTATGTTTACTACTTGATACACTTTGTTTTCACCTTTCCTATTATTGGCTGTGTTCAAGCATGTTCAAACAGCTCAATCTCGTGCTTGAAAAGTGGGCATCTCAAAGTTACTCGTGGGTCTCGGCGCTTTCCCTTCAAAACCATTAACATGACCTCCCAGCGAATTCCCTTTCCCTTGC